TGACGGCCCTGCTCTTCTCCGAGTTCCCGTTGGCACCGAACACCAAAGGACACTGCAGACAGTTAAAGGCTTTCTCGCCGTTCCCCGAAGCGGCCAGCTCGGGGTGGCCGGCTTCGCACGGGACGTCGTCCTTATCCTTCTTCAGGGCTTTGGGGATGGACAGGTCGATAGGCTCCATGGAACAGTCGTAGAGGGAGAGGGGAGAAGCGCCGAACAGGTTCTCCTGCTTCACTTGCACGGCACCCAGGTTTTTGTTCTTCTGAGAGAAATCCAACGGCTCCGCGAAATTGCTGGCGGGTTCGAGTTTGATGGGGACGTGGGAGGAGGTCCCCAGCAAGAAGCCGTTCTGAGGCTCCAGGAAAGGCGTCACGGGCTTGCGGTCCATGTAAGTGCTGTCCTCCAACAACGGAGGGTCTGTCTGGCTCTCCTGGGCGCCGCAGTCCACCGCCAGGATGTAATTCTCGATCTCCCTCTCCTGCACGTGCAAGTGCTGCTTGAGGATGTGGTGAATGCAGTTCCTCTTGGCCGAGAAGGCCGTGCCGCACTCCTTGCACTCGAAGGGCTTCTTCTTCTGGCAGCCGCTGTGGGTCCTCATGTGGATGCGGAGGGCCCTGTAGTGCTTCAGGTCCTCCCCACACAGCTTGCACACCGTGTCGGGCGAGCAGAAGGCGTCCACCATCTCGGCGGCGTTGCTGGTGACGTACTCGATGTTCTTCTCGATCTCTTTCCTGGTGACTTTGAGGTGCTTCTTCCGCAGGTGCCTCTCGCAGTTGGCCTTCACCGTGAAGGGGTAGTGGCAGATTTTGCAGATGTAAGGCCTCTCCCCGCTGTGCGTCCGCAGGTGCCGGATCAGCGCCGCCTTGTCGGCCGCGATGTAGTCGCAGATGTTGCACTGGTAAGGGGAGATGCCCAGGTGAGAACGGATGTGAGCCCTCAGGACCCCGGAGAAGGCGAACACCTGGTCGCAGAAACGGCAAGGGTACAACACCTTCCTCATGGTCGGGGCCTTCTTGTTGGCCGCCCCGGCGATGATGGCTTTGAGGTCTCCTTCGGTGACCTCTTGCTTGATCTTGGCTTCCATGCTCAGAGGCAGGAGAGCTTCGATGATGCTGTCCTGCTCCAGCTGCGTCTTCATCTCGTGCTGAGTTAAAGGCTCTACTTTGGGTTGGAGGAGCAACTGCGAGGCGGGGCTCAGTTTGGCTCCTGCCTGGGGGAGGTGAGAGTTGGAGGAGGACTCCACCGAGTTCTTGATCAGCCTCAGAGGCGGGGGCGGGAGGCTGGGGCTGATGCAGCCAGGGGAGGCTTGCTGGGCACTGATCAGAGGAGGTGGCGTAGAGGTTGCGACGACCGTTCGGGGCGTGACCAAAGGCTTTGGCTTCAGCGGTGGCATGTGCTTGAAAATGGACTGCACGGGGACAGAAGGTGCCTTAGAAAGGGGAGGAAGACTGATTTGAGGAGGGGCTGAAGAAGCCATCTTCAAGATCTGCTGGATGTCCGCCAGCTCAATGGCGGACTCGTTGGAGATGGGTTTTACCACAATACTGCTGTCAGGCTGGATGATAAAACCCTTCTGGAAAGGCTGCAGCGAGAGGAGCTTTATGTTCTCCTTTGTAGGGGGAAGGACTGAAAAAGACCCTCCCATGGAAGCAGCTTCCAGAGGAGAGAGGCTGAGCAGGCCGGTGCTGCCGGGTTCCTGAGGTAGGTTACTCTTCAGTGCTCTGAGCCGCAGCTCTTGGACCTCATCTGGTGCATTGTCCTCCTGCTTGACAGGCTTGATGTCTTTGGTGTACTGGAGGCCCAAGGATGCCATGAAGGCTTTCTGGTCAGGGTTCTCAGCGGGTGGGGTGGCGGACTGTGGCTTGTGCTTGTCTCTGCCCTGGTCCCCCAGGTGAGTCTCGGTGTGCAGGTGGAGGGCTGAGAGCATGGGGAATGCCTTGTTGCACGTCTCGCAGATGAACCGGTGGAAGTCGCTGATGCACCGCCGCAAATTGGTTTCACACCAGACCTGCAAGACAGGTGAAAACATTCAGAGTGGAGCTCTCCAGCTGGGAAGGCATCCCAGGCTGCTGTGAAACCAAACCAGCCCGCTCTCTCTTCCCACTGCCCGAGTGAAGGGGTTTAGAGCAGCCATCACCTGCCCGGCATGGAGATATTCCTGCTCCACAACCTTTAATCACCTAAGTGGTGTAGCTAAATGAGGGGCTGACGGTCCAAAAGTTCCCTTCTGTGAAGGCAAACTCCTTCAGACACTCAAAAGCTTTTCCATCCTCAACTTCCCTTCCAGTAAACTCCCTCGTTCCACAAAAATGATGTCCACCTGTCCATCAAAACGACCAGGAATCCAAATGCTGGAGTTAAATGCTCCCCAGATAGCTCCTGTTGCAAAGGTCCCATAGCAAAGCAGAGCACAAGTGATAAGTAGAGGGCAGGCAAGGTCTTCACATGTTCTAGACACTTGGTTCAGATACTTCACACATCTTGCCTCAGAGTGCAAGCAAAATTATTACAAAAGGGAAGCCCCAACGTTTAAAACCCTTAATAACTTTGAATGTCTGCCATGAATTACAAAAGAAATAACCCCAAGTTGTTTAAAAAGTTCTCTCTTCTCCTGATTTTGTGACCTGGACACCAAAACTCTTACTGGAGTTACAGAATAATCTACAAGCTCCCCTGGACCAGCAGGAAATTTCAGGTCTACCACCTTGCAGCCAGAAGAGCTGGAAATTGATGCTTTAATCCAAGTAGAATTAGAAATGTGCATGTACTAAAAAAACAATGGTCCTGCTGGATTCTCCTGTGGATTTCTCTCTCTTCATTTTTTTTCTTAAACAGATAAGCAGCTTCAACCAGACCTGAGCTAAGGCAGGCAAGGTTTGCCAGAAGGAGGAATAAAACCATTCAATAGAAGTTTTATGGCCCACAGAAAAATATTAACAGACTTAACTCCCTGCCTTTCCCAGCCACTGCCCCTCAAAGGTGAAGAATCTTCAGGCTTCATGCAGTGAACACAGTGGAAGGGCACCTGGGTGTGTGTTTTGTGAAGAAAACACTGAAGATGTCACCATTTAGTAAGGAAGGGGACTTCTCTGAGGTTTTTTGTGTTAAAATCTTTTACACCACAAGTCCATCCTTGCTACAGTAAATTAAAATAAATCTCTTCCTAACTGTGTGTCCTCCCTGGTGGTTTTAGATGTGGGATGGTTTTGGGAAGGAGAGAACCAACAGCCAGGCTGGAAGGGGCAAGGATTTAATAGCAGCAAAGTTTTCCTTTTAAACATTTCTACTGATCTTTATACCAGTAGTTATCCACTGGAATGCTGAAAAATAATAACCCCAGTATTTTTGAGCTGAAAAAAAGAAAAAGGAAGGGCAGAAAGTGTTTGAAGCCTACAAGGACTCCATGGCAATGAGATTTCCCTAAAACACACTCTCTGCCCCATCGAGGACGAGCCTTTTGGTGACGAGCTGGTTCCTTCAGCTCTGAAGAACAGCAAGTACCTGAGAAATGCGAGGGAACTTCCTGCAGGAGAAGTCCGTGAATCCCAAGTCGTGGAATCCTGCTGGGATGGAAGGGTTGTTCTGAATGAAAGGCTTCCCCAGGGGATCCCTGGGAAGCTGCTTGTGGATGACCGCGTTATGGCGCAGCAGGCCCCGGTGCGTACGGAAGGTGATACAGCAGATGTCACACCTGGAGAGGGAAGGAAGAAACCAGAAATGACTCCTTGGCTGCTGAGGGTTGAGAGGGATGGTTCTCTTTGCACGAGGGCAGCCTCCCTCCTTCCACCTCCTTCCACGAAGCTGCTAAAGGCAGAACAAAGCCACAGCCTGTCAAAAACCTGTCGCCGCAGCAAGGCTGCTTCAGTCGCTGTCACTCTCTACCCATTCCTGGCTGCTGAGTTCATGGGAAGTTCAGAGGACACAGCACAGGAGAACTGAACAGCCCACAAGAACTGAACAGCCCACAAGAACTGAACAGCCCACGAGAACTGAACAGCCCACGTGGGCCAGCAGCAAGGTGGCAGCTGAGACCACAGCCTCCTGCCAACCCTCCTGTCGCCTGACACGAAATAGTTCCCCAGCTTCCTACCCCTTCATTTTTACTGAGAAGCAGGAGGATAATAAAAGACATCTTCTGAAAACTCAGTGATGAGGAGAGGCTAAACCAGACCTCAGCAGCAAGTGGCTGCAAAGGTAGGAATGGCACCTTTTTAAACTGCTGCTTAAACCAGCCTACCAAATGTTTGGGTATGAATTTTCTCTGCGTTGCCTTTCCGTATGTTTTCACACGTTTTTTCCTCAAAGCTGTTATGAGAAGTAGATTATTTTACAAGAACTAATGCTCCTTGAGGGGGAGGAGGGTCAAAGGAGGAAGACCTGAAACAGGTTCAACAGTTCTGGCACTCATACACTCCTTTCCCAGCCACTGTGCCCCAAGGAATCCCAGAACCCCAGCACGGTGGGGTTGGGAGGGAGCTCTGGAGATCATCTCATCCACCCCCCTGCTCCAGCAGCTCACCCACAGCAGGGTGCCCAGGGTCAAAGCCAGGTGGGTTTGGGATCTCTCCAGAGCAGGAGACTCCACAGCATCTCTGGGCAGCTGCTCCAGGCTTGGGCACA